ATGTTAGTCATAGGCCTGCATTTTCTGTTTCTGGTCTTAATTCAGATGATATGGAGGGTTATCTACAGGCTGGTATCTCCCAATGTCCATGGAAGGCTTGCAAGTTACAGAGAATGATTCCAGCAAACCTTTTCCATAAACCTTTTTTGTAGACAAGTTTTCTCACATATATGTGAGGGGACAGAATATTAACTCTATAATTGTGACTTTTCATTATACATTGTGAAGTGGTACCATCCCAGGAGGACTAAACATATAAATCTGTATATAACACTAAACAGATAGTAAGTTTGTAGTAAAAAAAAAACCCAAAACTAAACATGGGGACATCAAGAGCAGGAGGTGGCAGTGAGATGAGATGTTTTGGCTACTTCTAAATCTGAAAAACCTGGTGTGACCAATTGTTATATGTTATACAATCAAATGTGAACATTTCTCCTTAGCTTTGGCTATACTAAGATCATGTGGCCAATCTAGCAAGACATTTGGCATGTCAATCCCCACTGAATGAATGGAAGTGTGTTACCATCTTATGGTGGCAACACACACTTCTTAATGATGACCCTAAGGTGAATTTATCAGGATTTTCTTGGCAAGATTGGTTCAAAAAGGGCCTTTGCCTCCTGCTGAGAGAGTGTGACTTGCCTAGGGAAACAGAGTAGCTTTCCATGATCGAGCATGGATTCAAACCCTGGTCTCCAGAGCTGTAGTCCAATGCTCTAACCTCTATACCACACTGGCTTTCATAATAGAAGTGTACTCTGGTGCAAATTTCAAAATTAGACTGGGGTTTGAGCAAGAGATATTCCCATGGTTAGTTCAGTAAATAACTCATCTCTATTATAGTCTGATGCAGTGTTCACATTAATATCTGAAGTGTTTAAAGTTGAATGAACATTACTTTAAAATCAGATGTTTGCTAAATTCTGTACTCTTTGGTGCATATTGCAAAACTTTCAGTTCATTGACCCAGGTTAAGATATATTTGTGCTTTCTTGCATGTGATTTGTAGGAATGCACAGTTGGATCCTCATCAAATGCATCTAGCCAGTGTAAGGCCATCAAGTTGTGCCATCCCACCCAGACATGTTCCCATATTAACTGTGCAAAATCTGGGACATTCCCTTGTAATAATGGGAGAAGAAGAGAGATACTTAGTGGAGCAAAGCTTGGGAAACTCATTGGACTTGCATTCTCAGAATTTCCTACCAAATATTGCCCCTCCCCCCAAACTGTCATTTCCCAAGCCCTCCATTAAAGATGTCCGTTTTCCATTCCTGCACCAAAAAAATACAATGAAGGAATCAAAAAGCTTTAGCTGATTGCTCAAGAAATTATCTTTCTAAACCTTCAAATTAGATTATATCTAAACTAATTATTTTTTTTAATTTCACACTGGCTGTGAACCAGTAAATATTTGAACCCATAACAATTAGCAGTATTACATTTATGGCTCACATGTCCAAATATAAGAGACTTTTGGCACCACATACTAAACCACTCAAATCAGGTTACTGAACAAAAAATAGTATATGACTACAGACTCTTGCTATTGTTCCACTTTGTAGGAAAGAGTAAGGATCTTATGCATTAAATGTGTGTGTGTGTGTGTGTGTTCCTAGGAAGAATAATGGCAGCTAAGTATCACCATGAGTCAAAATCTACTTGAGGGCAGCTAACAACAAAAACAAGTACTGGGCGCCTGAAGATAAAGTAGACATGTTTATGTGGTGCAGGGAAATATGAAAAATGGGTTTGAATGAAAAAAAAAATGATTGAAAACAATAAGGCATTTAGGCTCAAAACTCATGGGCTAAAAGAAGCAGCTCCCAGCTACTTTGGCAACGTGGCATTTACATGATGCACCCCCTAAAGTGGCCAAATGCTGCTCCAAAGCCACCAATCTGAGCCCAATTGCAGCCAAAGGCTACTCCTTTCCGGCCTCCTGCTTTACCTCATAGAGCAGGGGTAGGCAACCTTTTTGAGCCGGGGGCCAGGTTGCTGTCCCTCGGACAATTGGGGGGGCGAAGCACCAAAAATAAATAAATAAATAAATAAATAAATAAATAAATAAATAAATAAATATAAAATAAAAAATAAAAAAATATATAAAAAAATAAAAAAATATGCATGCACACTCTCTCAGCCCCAGAAAAGCCATAGCAAAACTCCTGTGGAGATTTTGCCAAGAAAACCCCATGAACAAGTAATAACAACAATAATCAATATCATCATAGAGAATAAAAAGAGGACTTGTTTATTGAAACATGGAAGCCATGGACTGAGTTCATGAGATCTGGTTCTGGGACTGTAGGTCCTTATGAATCATACCACTTCATGTTAGAAAGTACTGCTGGAAATAGTTTGAATTGTGAGAGAAGGACACTGGATGCCATATTTGAACGAAAGAAATCAGTATTATCAGTATTATTGATAATTAAAGATATTGATGCAGCAAGATTAATGTATCAGTATTACTATTTATCCGTTTACAGATGTCTTTATTTGTTATGTTACACTGTGTTGTTAAAAAGAAAATATAAAGTGGTGGGTTTGTGTGTGTGTGTTTTTTAAAAGTGAATGTATCCCAGGATTTGCTTGGCAAGATTATTCAGAGGGATTTGCCATGTTTTTCTTTGAGAGAGAGAAAAAAAAGTGACGCACAAGGTCCTTCAGTGGATTTCCATGGCTGAGCAGAGATTTGAACCCTGTTCTCCAAAGTTGTGCTCCAATGCTCAAACTACTATACTGCTCTTGCTCCAATAAGGAGTTAGAATGCCTTTTTAAAAAGCCCAGTTACCATGGAGTAGTGGGGAAAAGGTGATGGAAAATTCAGTAAAGCCTCTGATTAAAACTCATCCATGCAAGATACTGGAGGTTACCTGGATTTCAATTAAATGTGACAAATGAGTCGTCCACAGATTTCAGTTCCAATGCTTTTGATGTCAGAATAATCTATTAATTCCAAAGATGAAACTAAATAGATTTTTAGGCAGTACAAATCGATTACAGAAGCTAGAACAAGTAGACTTAAAAGCTGGTGTTGATGGGGGGAGGAGAAGAAGAAAACCCTCACTCAAATGTCAAATGTTACATTTACAGACTAGCAAAAGTGCATTGCATCTTGTTCTGTCATTACCTACAGGCCAGTGCCAACAAGAATTACTGGAGGCAGATGACATGCTGCTACTGAAAAGTCAAGTCTAGACAGTGACAGCAGAAGACCAAATTTGGAACAATATAGTTTCCATCACTATGTCACCCACTTTTTGGAGAACTGTTACTATTTTATACTCAGTCAGAAGAATTAGTTGGCCAGACCAAATTTATAAGCAATTGGTTATATCTAAATGTCTAAGACTATTCACATATGTCTCAAACTCAGTTGTGTCTAGATTAACGTCAATATATTGACATAAATTCAGTTGTGGAAGCAGAAACTACTCTAGAGGATTGAAAAATACTGAGATTGTTATAATCATGTTCTGAATATTCCTCATTCAAGTATGGATTTAAGAGGTATAATGCAGATCAGAACCTGGGAAAAGCCCTTCTATGGAATAAAACTCCCAGGATCTTCCTGCCCACATGATCAAAATTTTACAAACTCTGATGCAGATTTAAGTCATCTAAGCTCATCTGCATAGCCTCATCTATAATAGGTTTAACTTCAGAACAGTTTGTGCATCTTTCTCTATCTCTCTTTTTGTATTCAAATGAACAATATTTGCATTCTGCTCCCTGTTTGGAGCACTTGTGCACTACAGATTTTTTTTTTCATTTGGCAAGCAGAAAATTGTGAGAAAAAAAATGTGAGTTGTTTTTGGAGTTCTGTCCTCACCCACAGTACATCACTGAAGTAGCAAAGTTGTCTTAGAACAAGTCTTTTGGACTTATCTGTGGAAAGTCGAGTGGAACTAAATGGGTCATATTTCTATGAACATGCAGAAATCATACGGCAGAGGAAGTTTTGAGACTAGGTCCCTAATAGCTGATCTTTAATGCCTTCAAAGACTGTAGTCTTATTATACTGAAGTTAGGTGAATTTCTACAGGTTAAGGATGTTGTCTAAACTGGAGTACTGGCATAAATGTTGGCAAGTGGCCCTATAGCCTGAAGATGTTTGGCTAATCTCCCAAACCAATTACACTAGGTCATATAAAATCCTTCTAGGATACTCTGAAAAAATTCTTGCATTAGATACTTTCTCACACCTTGCCTGATCTCCTCTATCCAATCTAGTATTTGACCTGTCTGTGACTCTGACTCTTATTATGGCCTGACTGCCTTAGTGTCTGGCCTATTCATGACCATACCACATTCTTTTGATTCTCCTGACCAATGATTTATCTATGCCAAGGACCTGGACTCCATGTCACTTTATTATGGACTAACTCCAGGCTTGACAAGATACCACATGGCTTATGTGGAAGATACCCATACTAAACAAATAAGAACAAGAACATGGGGTAGAGGAACATAACAATCTTGTATGGATAACAGGAGATATATTAGAGATTGTAACCACAAGAAATACTCTTTAAACACACTGTTTCTTTTTGTTTGTTTGTTTGTTTGTTTTCTTCAAATTAATTTTAAATATAGCTGTGGGCCCTTGAACTTAGTTTAACTTGCCTCACTTATCTAACTCCTCTTTGGGCCTCTGCACATAGGCCCTTTGCGGTGAGTTGGAGGCAGGGAAGGGGAGGGGCAGCTGCCGCCCCAACCCCTCCCCTAAGACATCCTGATGTCACATACTCTTACGCACAGCACGTGCCATCAGGATGTCCTCCATGCATAGTGTCCTCGCGTGCTATGGCGGAATGGGCAAAGAAGAGCCATATAGTGGCTCTTGGGGCAGCGTTCTGCTGCCTCTAATAGGAGCGGCATTTTGCCACTCTTTTAAGAGGTCAAAAACAGAAGAATCAGAGCCGTTGTGCTAGCACTGGCCCCGATCCTCTGCTTCCCAGGGTGGCCCAAGGCCACCCGTCTGCATCCTCCCCTTTGTCTTCACTTCCAAAAGCACCATCGTGCTTTGTTATGTGCAAAACAAATAGTATAATTATAAATTGCTAATTTATATTATCCTTAATGCACATTCTAAGGAAACAACAAATTAAGCCACAATTGCTTGTTCTCATGTAAGATTTTTCTAAAAGCCCCCTCCCCAAATGTTCTGCTTTTATTGTGTTGAGATGTCAAGATGAGCCAAACTACTGGAACATGTAGTAAAGTGCTAATATAAAACTCTCCAAAGGAGACTAAAACAAATACTGTGATTCAATCATTAAATCTATAGTTGGTTCCAGACAACTCCAATATATCATCTACTCATGCTCTTATATCTATCTTTACAAATGTATGTAAATTCATATTATTTCATTTGATGCCATCATCCTGTCAGGAACATATTTTAAAGGTATAACAATGAAATCAATTTAATTAATTTCAAGAGGTGTCAGACCCACTAAATAAAAGCATGAGGCAACAAACCCTTAAAACAGGGGTAGGCAACCTTTCCCCTTTAAGGGCCGAGGGACTTCAGCTCCCAGAAGCATCAGCCATGTTGGCCAATAGTCCCATGTTGCCCAATAGCTCCTGGGATTCTGGGAGCTGAAGTCCCTCGGCTCTTAAAGGGGGAAGGTTGCCTACCCCTGCCTTAAAATCTCTCTTCCCCTCTTTAAATTGATTTTTAAAAGGTTCACTTAAAGCAACAGACAAAAATGGGACATTGTGAAAGA